TTATGAAAATGTAAACACTTTTCACCTATATCAAACATTCTTCATACGCCTGCCCATACCATAACCCCATCGCCACCATGCGCCACTCGATCCACAATGTTGACATCAGCAAACCGCTCACCCACACGATGCCATACACACTGTCTGCCATCTGCCCTGTACAGTGAAAACCAGGATTCATCCGTGAAGAGAACTCCTCTCCAAAGTGCCAGACTCCATCAAATGTGAGCATTTGCCCACTCAAGTCGGTTACGACAACGAACTGCACTCAGGTCGAGACCCCGATGAGGATGACGAGCATGCAGATGATGCAGTCCCTGAGATGGTTTCTGACAGTTTGTGCAGAAATTCTTTGGTTATGCAAACCGATTGTTGCAGCAGCTGTCCGGGTGGCTGGTCTCAGGCGATCTTGGAGGTGAAGATGCTGGATGTGGAGGTCCTGGGCTGGTGTGGTTACACGTGGTCTGCGGTTGTGAGGCCGGTTGGATGTACTGCCAAATTCTCTGAAACGCCTTTGGAGACGGCTTATGGTAGAGAAATGAACATTCAATTCACGGGCAACAGCTCTGGTGGACATTCCTGCAGCGTGCCAGCATGCCAATTGCACGCTCCCTCAAAACTTGTAATGTCTGTGGCATTGTGCTGTGTGATAAAACTACACATTTTAGAGTGGCCTTTTATTGTGGCCAGCCTAAGGCACCCTGTGCAATAATCATGCTGTCTAATCAGCATCTTGATATGCCACACCTGTGAGGTGGATGGATTATCGGCAAGGGAGAAGTGCTCACTAACACAGATTTAGACAGGTTTGTGAACAATATTTGAGAGAAATAGGCCTTTTGTGTACATAGAAAAAGTCTTAGATCTTTGAGTTCAACTCATGAAAAATGGGGGCAAAAACAAAAGTGTTGCATTCATAATTTGGTTCAGTATATTAAACAACATAACTTATCTTGTAGTCGATTCCAATCAAATGGAGCAGCATAACTAAATGCCCGCTTGCCCATGTTAGTACAAACTGTAGGGATGCTTAAAAGATAATAGTCTTGTGAGCAAAGACCATAATTCTTTACACCTTTTGTAAAATATTCTGCTGTAAATACGAAGGAAGTAAACCTAAAATGATTTTATATATAAATAAGTACCAATGCTTAAGTCTACGGGATGACAACGCCGGCCATCCAACCCGAGAGTACAATAAACAATGATGAGTAAGGGCTTTTGAATTTGTGATGAACCTTAATGCTTCATGATAAACTGAATCCAATGCCTGTAAACAATGCTTAGGTGCCTGCATGTATATGATATCCCAATAAGCCAACAACTCTTCCTTGCTGTAAAAGAAAGGCAATACTTGACTCTAAAAAAGGCCCAGTTTCGACTTTAATTTTCTCTGAAAATTAGGTACTGAATATGAGGTCCAAAAGAAAGAGAATCATCAATTAAAAATCCCAAGTATTTATACTTAGATACTAACCTTGAAGAGTAGTGATTGAGCATGAGTTTGAAAGTGCAGACTTTCTTTTTGTAAACATCATAAGTTTAGATTTCTCCGCATTTAAAAACAGTTTTAAATCACTCAGTGTATGCTGAAATGCATCAAAATCAGATTGAAGATGACTCAGAGCCTGATCCAATGTTGATGCAGAGGAGTAAATCACCATATCATCATAATGATATCGTATAAATAAAAACTTGAATGTGCGAGATTATTCCCAATATTATTAATATATAAAATAAATAATAATGGCCCAAGGACTGATCCCTGTGGTACGCCGATATTTACATTCAGAGTACAAGAAGTGAGTCCCTCTATATTTATACATTGAGATCTATCCGATAGGTAATTAACAAACCATCCGACAGTATTTACTGATAAACCTACACTAAGTAGCCTCTGCTTCAAAATTGTATGATCTATGAAATCAAAAGCTTTGGATAAATCAATAAAAAGAGCAGCACTATGGTTTTTATTATCCAATGAAACCATTAAATCATTTAATACTTTTAAAATTGCTGTTGATGTACTATGTTTTTTCCTAAAACCAGATTGGAACTCTGAGAAGGCATTTTTAGAAGATAGAAATTATTTTAATTGATCATTCACAAGCGATTCCAAAACCTTTGATAAAATAGACAATTTCGAAATAGGCCTATAATTATTCAATACAGTTGGATCATCCCCTTTAAATAATGGCCGATCATAAGCAGTTTTCCAGATAGAAGGAATTTCATTTGTAGCTAAAGAAAGATTAAAAAGATAGGTTAGTGGTGGCACAATAAAATCAGCTGCCAGCTTTAAGAAATGTGGATCCAACTTATCTGGACCAGCTTGTTTTCTACTATCTAAAGATTTAAGTGCCTTATTAACCTCTGAAACTGTTACTGGGTTAAAGTAAATTAATTGGTCTACCTTAAAATTATTTACACTAGAGTAAACAGGTGAGGAATTATCACAGGTCAAATTATTTGACTGTTGAAGTGTACCAGTGGCCACAAAATGTTCATTTAAACAATCTATTATTTTAACTTTATCCACAATTTTACATGAATCCTTAATAATACATGACGGAAAATCTGAATTTGATTTATTTCCAAGAAGATTTGTACTATTTTTCCAAAAATGTCCAAGTTTTTGAATTATTTAGATTATTAGAAGTTTCTAAAAGAAAGTAGTCAACCTTAGCTTTTCTAATCGCAGCAGTAGACACATTACGCAACTGTCTGAAAATCAACCAATCTTCCTTTAGATTAGTACTTCTGGCTTTAGACCAAGCCAAATTACATTCTCTAAGTAAATTTGACAGTTCGGGGGTGAACCATACATTATGTCTGCTTTTTACTCTAAACTTTCTAAAAGGAGCATGCTTATTTATAAAATAGATAAAACTTTCATAAAAATAACTCTGGAATAAGATTAATTTTTCCCCAATCAAAACGATATAAGTCATGTAAAAAAGCTTGTTCCTTAAAATGTTTCATATCGCGTTTAATAATAATACATGGCTTAGATTTGGGAATGTTTGTATTCCTAATAGTAGCAACAACACAGTGGTCACTTATATCGTTTGCAAATACAGATGCTATGGAATATTTATGAGGGACATTAGTTATAATTAAATCAATTAATGATGAGTATTCAGGACATTTTAAATTTGGTCTAGTAGGACTATTTACTGTCTGAAAAAGATTCATTGAATTACAGTATGCTTTTAGATCATCAGATATTGGTTGCAACCAGTTCCAATTTAAATCACCGATCAGGACTAATTCTTTAGGGTCTAAATCTGATATAATCTGTGTCAAGAAAGATAAGGTTTCATTTACTGCTGAAGGTGGCCTATAGCATCCAACTAAGGTAATATTGCAGGTTTTAGAAACTTCAATATTTAAAGCTAAAAGATCAAATTGATTTTTCACTGATTTAGATAAAAGCATATTCATACTATATTTAGTTTTAATAAAAACTGCAACTCCACCTCTATTAGATCGATCAGCCCTATAAACATTATAACCAACAATGCTTATTGTCCTTATGTGAAATAGAATTTTTTAACCATGTCTCCGATAAAACCATAATATCGGCATCGGTTGTATCTGCCCAGATACGTAACATATCCAACTTTGTGAGTAAACTGCGAACATTTAAATGAACAATCCCAAGACCAGTCCTTGATTTAAAATCAGCAGGTGTGTTAAAACTTGTGACAACATCAGGACCTGGATTCGGTCGAACATTTCCAGAAATCAAAAGTAACAGTACAATGAGCGCCCTCTGCAGTCTAGATTTCTTGTATAATTTTTCCTCCTTTAAGGTCCTCAAAGAAACAAGAGAACTACCTGGAGTAACAACACAATTTTCTTGCACAACCATGATTCTGGCAAACCTTATCAAGTGCACAGAATTTAAACAACTAAATAAAAAAGAAAATAGCGGAGCACCACTCGTTATGTTTTCTAGTGTGCCCTTTTTGGGACAATTATCAACTGAGCGTTTAGAACCTACACAGAAGTGTTCTATTCCGTGAAAACCTCCACTGCAGCTCGTCATAAAGAAGAAAATAAATAATACAAAAAGGAATGATACCATTTTTAAAAGTTATTCCTGATCTTAACCCAATATACTGTCTGTTGATGAAAAATGTCCAGTATAATCCCAGTAAACTCTCCAGATGCAGTTTCAAATGCTGATGATATAATTGTATCTCATGAAATTTCCAGGGTTGAAGACTTTTGAAACGATACTGCAAAATGGATAAACCAAATTTTAAAAACCACCCTGAACAATATCATCATATCTTATTTAGTGTAGATAAAATAGCAAAAGCACTTTCCTTTATCCAGTAAGGTGCAGTACTCATCAAGGCCAACTATCTCACATCATGGATCCGAATTAGGGAAACGCTCCAGAAGATCCAAAGCCCGTCTTTATAATCCCTTAAGGTGCGATACTCTTCAAGGCCAAAAGAGATCACATCATAGATCCAGTTGAGAAAGATCCGCTTCAGAAAGTCCAAAATCTGAGAAAGGTCCCTTGTTCAATTTCTAAAACCCTTAGAATTCTTCTTTTCTATCTAAGAGTAGAGTCTTAAAATTTATAAAACAAACGAAAACAACACAAAATCAATACAAAATTAGACAACCACATGTTCAACAAACATGACAAAAAGACATGCCGCCATCTTGGAATGTACCAAGAACATATGTTCTTAAAAGAACATATGTTATAATTTTGTTCAGTGTATATATATATATATATATATATATATATATATATATATATATATAAATCTATGTAAGTGAATGGAGATCAACAACTGTTTGGTTACTCACATTCTTTGAAATATCTTCTCTTATGTTATAACACACACACACAAACCTAAGTAGATGATGATGACAGAATTTACATTTTTGGGTGAACTATCCCTTTAAATCTGGGAATGTACAGAAACAAGTGAGTCACAGTTTACAGGCACACCTTTTTGCACACCACACACAAGCAAAGAACCAGGAAACATTTCAGTCCTTTACAGTTCTGAGATAACGAAACTTATCGAGCGAAGTTGCTGAACTCTTATGTGTTTCTTCTGTTTCTGTGCACATGTGGTGAAATGGCAGAAGCCAGCATTTTATGGACTCGGGACCAGTTCATTTGTCCAGTGTGTCTTGATCTTCTAAAGAATCCAGTGACTATTCCCTGCGGACACAATTACTGTATGACATGTATTTCGGACTGCTGGAATCATCAGGATCAGAAGACTTTCTACATCTGCCCTCAATGCAGACAGAAGTTCACTCCAAGACCTGCTTTAAATAAAAACACCATGCTGGCTGAAGTGGTGGAGAAACTCAAGAAGACTAAACTACAAGTCGCAGTTCCCACTGACACTGGACCTGGAGAAGTAAAGTGTGACGTCTGTACTGAAACAAAACTCAAAGCCGTCAAGTCCTGTTTAGTGTGTCTGAACTCTTACTGTCAAAGCCACCTTGAACAGCATGAGAGTTTTTTTAAAGACAAGGGACACTATTTGATGGATGCCACTGGACGACTTCAGGAGATGATCTGCCCTCAACATGGTCGACTGCTAGAGGTTTTCTGCCGCACTGACCAGCACTGTATTTGTATGCTGTGTACAATGTATAAGCATAAAAACCATGACACTGTCTCAGCTGCAACAGAGAGAACAGAGAAAGAGGTATGAACTGAAATTACATATTAGTGCTTTAAAGGGATACTCCACCCAAAAATGAAAATTCATTCTTCATTTACTCACACTGCCTCAAGCCAATTGGTTTTAGTTGCATCAGCAGCTAGTGCTGCATTCTTGGCTAGTGCTTGCTGTAGCAGTTGCAGTGCTCTTTAGAAATTCTCCACCTTCCCTAGCTGCACCTGTATAGACCTGCTACGGGGTGATTTTCATGCTTTATATGGGAGTTATTTCATTTACAGTATTTTATATGTGCAGCAGCAGTATGTCTGTGGATGTATTGGCAGTAAGTCTTGGTATAGCAGATCTATATAGCAGATCAGTGTAGCAGATCTATTCCGCCAAGACCAAACAAATTAACATTGCCATGTATATTGCCATTCTAAACTTTCCGAGAGTTGTCATGACAGAAATAAAGTAAGTTCACTCTACAAGTGATGATTTAAGTGTAGTAATACCAGTTAACAGAAATATGTTCTATATATTCTAAAACAGTTTGTTAATGTTCCCATTAAGTTATGAAAACTTTATTTTGGAACATTTTCCGGACATTAAAAACTTTTTTTTTTTAATGTTCCAAAACTTTTTATGCGGTTACGTGAATGTTAAGTAAACATATGATTTATCATTTTGCAAATGTTATGGGTAACATTAGTTTTTAATGCTCTCTAAATGTTCTGAAACAAGTAACTTTTAAAAATGTTTCAAAAATAAATTGTTCCATAAATTATTTATAATAAAGTTTTTGTTCTAACATTTGACGAGAGAGAAAAAGAGAACGGACAAGCAGATAAAACAACGTCTTACAGCCACATAGTCTTTGCTTGCTTCTCATGCTTCAGGAATATCCACCAATACTGTATAGAAGTCATACAACATTTCACATGATGATTTTGTAATATTACATTTTATGAAACATTTCTCATGTTTACTGTATGTTCTATAGAGACACTTGAAAAATACACAGGTAAAGTACCAGCAGAGAATCCACGAGCGAGAGAAGGACATCCAGGAGCTGAGAGATGCTGTTGAGTCTCATAAGGTGAGTACTGAGAGGAGAAAAAGTTTGAGTTAGGAATCTCCTCCAGTGCTGAAGACCTTGCAATCCCACTGATTGTAATGTGTGTACCAACAGCGCTCTGCACAGGCAGCAGTGAAGGAAAGCGAGATGATCTTTTCTGATCTGATTCGCTCCATTAAGAAAAACCGCTCTGACATGACACGGCTGATCAGAGATCAGGAAAGGGCTGTGGTGAGTCAAGCTGAAGGACTCTTGGAGCGATTGGAGCAGGAGATTGCTGATCTGAGGAGGAAAAACGCTGAGCTGGAGCAACTTAAACACACAGATGATCACATCCATTTCCTGAAGGTCATCAGCATTGTGATACAGGACATTTTATGTGATTTTACTGTCTGTCTAAGCAGTTAAAGTCACATAAAATGTATTTTGAGATTAGATTAGTGTGTTAAAGGCAAGTCACTGAAGGCAAGTCAACAAAAGCTAAATATATTTGACTTTTTTTTTTGTAGGGATTTCAGTATCTGTCTGCACCTCTTGAACCTACAGAGAGAATTACTGTCACATCACCTCTCTCTGTTAATGATGTAAGACAATCTATCTGTCAACTGAGAGAGAAAATAGAGAAGTTCTGTAAAGAGGAAATCAAAAGGATTTCTGGTAGGTAAAGCATTAAACATTAATTTACTGTCAGAAAAAATGCTACATAATTCTATCATTTTGAAATCATTAGAAATGTATTTATTACAGATAGATAATTGGATGGATGTACAATATAGCCGATAATGTCCTCTTATTTATGAAAATTACCCGTTTATATTCATTTTCACAGTTAAACACATCAACATTATTCTGAGAACCAGAAAGGACTTCCTACAACGTAAGTTGCAAAGACTCAAAATACTGACTCTGTACTAACCAACCAGAATGTAAATTAAATAGTTTGATATAAACTATTCAGCTACATTAAAACAAAAACCTTAATGTTTAAATGTTTCCTGATCACTCTGATATATTTGATCTCCATCAGATTCTCATCAGTTCACATTTGATCCAAACACAGTAAATAAACACATTCATCTGTCGAAGAGGAACAGATTGGCTACATACACCGACACAGTCCAGCGGTATCCTGATCATCCGGACAGATTTGATGTTTATTATCAGGTGCTGTGTGGAGAGAGTGTGAATGGATGCTGTTACTGGGAAGTGGAGTGTAATGGTGATGTGGGTATATCAGTGTCATATAAACACATCAGTCGCAAGGGAACTGATACAAAGTGCTTGTTTGGATATAATGATCAGTCCTGGAGTTTGTTCTGCTCCTCTTCCAGATACTCATTCAGGAACAATGATATGGAGACTGATCTGCCTGTTTTCTCCAGATACTCTAGAATAGGAGTGTATGTGGATCACAAAGCAGGAACTCTGTCCTTCTATGGTGTCTCTGACACAATGACCCTCATCCAAAGAGTTCAGACCACATTCACTCAGCCTCTCTATTCTGGGTTTAGGCTGTACAGTGGATCAACGGTAAAACTCTGTGATTTAACAATATAGAATATTCCTATATACAGTGGGGAAAATATTTATTTGATCCCCTGCTGATTTTGTAAGTTTGCCCACTTACGAAGAAATTAAGAATCTGTCATTTATATGGTAGGTTTATTTTAATGGATAGAGACAGAATACCAACCAAAAAATCTTATATTCTTACATTATATAAAGGTTAGAGATTGATTTGCATTTCAGTGAAGGAAATAAGTATTTGATCCCCTACCAACCAGCAAGGATTCTGGCTCCCACAGACTGGTTATGTGCCCATGTGGAACATAGATTAGTCCTGCCACTTTAAGAAGTTACTCCTAATGTCAGCTCATTAGGTGTATAAGACACCTGTCCACACAATCTGTATCTTCCATTCCAACCTCTCCCACCACCATGGGCAAGACCAAAGAGCTGTCAAAGGATGTCAGAGACAAGATTGTAGATCTGCACAAGGCTTGAATGGGCTACAAGACCATCAGCAAGAAGCTTGGTGAGAAGGAGACAACTGTTGGTGCGATTATTCGGAAATGGAAGAAATACAAAACAACCATCAATCTACCTCGGTCTGGAGCTCCGTGCAAGATCTCGCCTCATGGGGTAAGGATGATCATGAGAAAGGTGAGGGATCTGCCCCGAACTACACGGGAGGAGCTTGTTAATGATCTTAAGGCAGTTGGGACCACAGTCACCAAGCAAAACATTGGTAACACACTACGCCGCAATGGACTGAAATCCTGCAGCGCCCGCAAGGTCCAAAGAACATCTAAATGATTCCAAGAAGGCTTTGGGAGAAAGTGCTGTGGTCAGATGAGACCAAAATTGAGCTCTTTGGCATGAAGGATGACTTCACCGCATTGAGGGGCAAATGGACGGGGCCATGTACTGTAAAATCTTGGACGAGAACCTCCTTCCCTCAGCCAGAACACTGAAGATGGGTCATGGATGGGTCTTCCAGCATGACAATGACCTGAAGCATACCGCCAAGGCAACAAAAGAGTGGCTTAAGAAGCAGCACATTAAGGTCATGGAGTGGCCTAGCCGTGGCTTAAGAAGCAGCACATTAAGGTCATGGAGCAGCACATTAAGGTCATGGAGTGGCCTAGCCAGTCTCCAGACCTCAATCCTATAGAAAATCTGTGGAGGGAGCTGAAACTTCGAGTTGCCAAACAACATCCAAGAAACCTTAAGGATTTAGAGAGAATCTGTAAAGAGGAGTGGACCAAAATCCCTCCTGAGATGTGTGCAAACCTGGTGACCAACTACAAGAAACATCTTACCTCTGTGCTTGCCAACAAGGGTTTCTGCACCAAGTACTAAGTCATGTTTTGCTTGGGGATCAAATACTTATTTCACTCACTGAAATGCAAATCAATCTCTAACCTTTATATAATGTTTTTTTCTGGATTTTTTGGTTGGTATTCTGTCTCTATACGTTAAAATAAACCTACCATAAAAATTACAGACCCTTCATTTTTTTGTAAGTGGGCAAACTTACAAAATCAGCAGGGGATCAAATACATATTTTCCCCACTGTAGCTTTAATCAGTAATAGTAAGATGTTAGCCTGTTCTCACTCCTGAGATTTCCAATGGCACTCGTTCATGAGCTCTGTGTGTCATTATAAAGTGCTTTTTAATGTCTGTTTACCAATGCTGATTGTTTTCAGTTAAACCTTTGGATGAGATTGATACTTTTATGATCAAAGCTAGTTTCTCAAAATATCTATATGTGTCTATAATGTGTCTGTACTTTTATTTACTATATTTATTATACATTTAATTATATGAATTTATTTAGCTGTTCCTGCATCTGGAAAATTAAGAGATATTATTGTGTTTATAATAGATGTTTTTGATGACCTAAAACCACCCACCCCTCCTTGAATGTGGTCACATCTCATTCAGAATATAAATTTGAACTTTAGCATGTTGCATTTGTGACACACCAATGCCACACCAAGCTAAAGGCATTTCACAACCGAGCTGTTGCTTCTTTTGGTGACAAACTTTGAACGTGCCAGATTGTTACGCAGACTGGGACGATGATTGAATTTTGGTCTGGTCCTCGTACAAACTAATATCAGGCCTCAGATTTTTGGAATAAAATATTGTGATTGTTCTTTTATCCGCTTGTTTCTTGTTTTATTGTTGAGAAGTAGTTAGGTCAGCATAGGGTTTTGGGTTATGTACTTAAAAATATCTCTAACTTGTGCTGGAAGGAGAGTAGTTGAGGTGTGGATCTAGGTTAATTGCAGCTTTTATTCAAATGAACAAGGTGAAGCAATCCATAAACAGGTGAAAACACTATATAAAGAAAACTGCAACAGCTCAACATCACGTAGTCAAGAGGATCGGACAACTAAAGACGGAAACAGAGGGCTGCAGTAGAAACACACAGGATAGCGAGAACTTAACTAGACGCATAAAGTAAATAAACCTTAACCAAGTAGTGTTGGGTCGTTCTTGAACGATTCGTTCATTTTGAACGAATCTTTAATGTGACTCGGGAGGAACGAGTCGTCTCGGGGAGTGATTCGTTCAGTCGCGCATGCGCAACATCCTATAGGTTCTGTACTGGAATTAGTCAAGTAGTTCACCTGGTTCGAGTCTTCGGGTTTTTCCGAGTCGTTCGTTCAACACGTGACAGCCCCATACACTTAACCAATGCAGTCTGAGCCGGAATAACCAAGGAAACGTGAAGTGGGAAACAATGGGACAAATATATACTTTCAATTAAGAGTCCTAGGGAGACAGACTCGCGTGAAAACTTGAGAAATAATTGTGTAATGTAACAATATATTTTGGCTGTTCAAACTGAAAATCATCTGCATGGAAATATGGGTTTGTGTGTTCATAATAATGAAATTATTAATTATTATAAATCGTTTTTATAACAACTACTATCAAAAATTGTGAACTGATATTAATGTCTGAATATTTAAATTATTTGGTTACACTGTACTTGAAGGGGTGTGCATAAGACTGACACCTTCATAATCATGACATGACACCTACATAATCATGACATGACACATGTCATGTTTTCTTAAAGGGGTCATAGGATGGCATATACATACATAGCACTTTTACGAGTTGTTTGAACTGAAATGTGTGCTGGCAGTGTGTGTACACAACCACCATATACTGATAAAAATCCACCCAGTGTTTTGTTTTGTCAGGCCCCTCCCACGATAGTTTGATTGACAGTGGCGTTTCAGCAGACTGGACTGGCATCTTACCTTAGACCTGCCCTGAGTGAGCTGTCATCAGTCCGCCATTGTTTCACCGCTGGAGCAGATGTAGACAAGAATGACTCCTAAGCGATTGAGGTGTTCTGTTGTTGGATGTAATAATGAACATAGCAGTTGTTATTTGCTCCAGACATCAGAGCCGCTGAAGATACAGTGGATTACATTGTTTCTGAAGGGAATGCGCCCCTATTCTACATAAATGTGTCTATGTTCGCATGAATAATTCATGATCCAGCCACATATACAGAAGAAGTGAGTATAATGTTTTGTAATGAATCATTGCAAATCGCCTTTCCTAATAATGTGCTAATTAGCAAGTTTCATGATGAATGCGGCTAAAGTAAACAATCTCTCTGAGAGCGGCTCAGAAGAGAGGGGCGGGGGCAGTAGAGCTCATTAACATTTAAAGGAAAATGCTACAAAAACGGCTTGATCTGAAAAAAGCTGTTTTTGACAGGGTAAAAAAAGGTGTTTTTTTACACTACCATTGAGAAATTTTAACCAAACTACATTACAGACTTTTCATTAAGACCCTAAAGAATAATATCAACTTGTGGAAAGTGGGCATCCTATGACCCCTTTAATATTTTTGTATTTATAGATCAACTGTGATTTTTAATTAATGTTTCGCAATTGTTTTGACTGTTATACATATTTGATTGAAAATTGCTATACTACACCAAAAGTAATATTAAATGAAAATGGTAATATGAAAACATACAAACACTGTTGAACGTCTTAAAATCACTGCAACAAGTATGCTTCTGAAATTCTGAAACATTCCTTTTTTTAATGAATGTCTATGAATAACAGGTGAGTAAATGGTAGACTATTCAATACAAAATTTTACCCAAACTAGTGCTGGTTAATGATGAGCTTGATGACTGGCCAGAAAGTAAGATGTTTTATTGGAATTTAACCTTCATGTGTGTTTTTTCACTTACAGAAATAAGTGAAGTAGGGAAAAAGTGTGTCACTTCCAGATGATCATATCAGTCATATCATTAATTTCCCTGCTTTATCAACCACAAGCCATTTATCGCCTTAGCTTGTATCTCAAAGTTAATCACTGACATCCAGCATGTGATATTGATATGCCACAGAAAGTTTCTGACCTGGAGGTTCACCAAGTTTGACAATACTTATGTGATTTGAAAATTATTAGGAAACGGCAAGTTTTTAGTTTGGTTTAGCACATAGGAAGATTAATGTCAGCATGAAACATAAGTTGCTATTGTATTTTCTTCTGTGTTGAGAAGTATATCTGAGTGAAAAGACTTTTCTAAGAAAAAATATAGGGCAGGACTTGATTTTGTCCATAGAAAATGGATTGGATCATCACTGACTGCAGTTGATGGTTTTGCAGTGATGGTTGTCCTTTTGCAAGTCTTTCCTATCTCCACATATGATCTCTGGAGCTCACTAGTGACCATCAGGTTTTTGGTCACCTCTCTTACCACAGCTGTCCTCTCAATATCTCAGTTTGATAGAGCAGCCAGCTCTAGAAAGAGTCGTTTGCTCCAAACCTCTTCATTTAAGAATTATGATGACCACACATTTTGGAAGCCTTCCCCAGATCTGTATTAGAAATAGCCAAGTCTAATTGAATGCTGCAAATGTTTCATATCTTAACCATGGTTTAATCACAGTCTTGCAAACTATTCAGTAACACTTTATTTTAAGGACCAATTCTCACTATTAATAGCATGCATATTACCAGCATATTGACTGTTTATTAGTGCTTATATAAAGCACATATTAATGTGTTATTCTGCATTACCTTATTCTAGATCCCTTAATTCTACCAAATACCTAAACTCAACAACTAATTATTAAGTTTTGATGCAAAAGTTGTAGTTAATAGTGAGAATAGAACCTTAAACTATTCTAACTCAGACTTACAGAAGTACAGGTGCATCTCAATAAATTAGAATGTCATGGAAAAGTTCAAGTAATTCAACTAAAATTGTGAAACTCGTGTATTAAATAAATTCAATGCACACAGACTGAAGTAGCAATAATAATTGAATGATAGGTGTGCTGACCGATACATGAACATTCTGTCACTTTATTTTAAGGTCCAATTCTCGCTACTTAAACCATTAACTACAACTTTTGCCTTAATAAACTCATAATTTGCTGCTTATTAATAGTAAAGTAGTTGTTATCTTTAGATATTGGGTAGGATTAGGGGTGTAGAATTTAGTCATGCAGAATGTGCGTTATAAGTATTAATAAACAGACAATATGTTAATAATAGGCATGCTAATAAGCAACTAGTTAATAGAGAGAATTGGTCCCTATACTATAGTGTTGCCGAACATTCTTTCCATGTCCTTCCTTGTTATCCTCCAAAAGTATCCAGGTTTGCCATTTTACAGTAATATGTTAAATGGTATTGTAATGCCATTAAAAAAAAAAAAAACATTCACATAGTGCTGAATTCATTTATTTGACTTGAACAGCTTTTGACATTAGTATATCACTCCATGAAACTGCATTGATGATCACATGAAATAATTACAGCTACAGGAACTACAAACTCTCTGGTCCTTCAGTAACAGACGCCCCCCACCCCCCAAGACCCCAACTAGCCCAATGCTGTCTGAACACGCTGAAGGAGAAGCAAACATATGAGATGTTCAACTGATCTGCATTACTACAGCAATTATCAATGTCTGCATAAGCTTTTTATACAAGCATGAGAGCAGGCTGATCGTGATACAGTGAGCATCAGACTGTGGACTAGCTGATGTAATGCGAAAGTCATTTTTTACAATCCACTTCAGAACCTAGAGCTGAGACTAAAGACTAAAACAGGGCTGTTGGATCGGTGCGACAAGTCTTGAGATTTTTTTTAAAATGTGCAAATCAATTTTTTTAAGAGGCATTTGGAAATCTATACCCATTTCAACAGGAATATTATAGGTTTATACTTCACAAATTTCAATACAGCAAATTAACAGAATATGAAACACCACAGAGAAACAAATGTGTTACATTGACATGTCGTCCATTCAGAGGTAAGGCTTTATCTAAAACATGACAATGTACTGTAAATAAAACCATGTACAAACATGTTAACATTCAAATTTTTTTTTTTACATTTTCATTTGTGTTCCAGTACAACTTCATTATTTTCCATTTGAAGTGATATGCATTTTTATCAAATTGCATTTGTACATCTTCCAACCATTTTTATTTGAATTCCGTAAGAACTGAACTAACACAATAAAAAAGCAAAGTTCACACACACAATGGTCCCATGATCATAAAACTCCTGAATGATTCCGTACACTGATGAGAATTGAGATGTTGAATGCTGAACTTGATTTCAGCCGTGCTCATCTGAACTGAATATTAATACACTGCAAAAAAAAAAAAAAAAGCTGATCGCTATTTTTGTCTTGCTTTCCAGTAAAAAATATCCATATGACAAAAAACTCTAAAATGATGTAAACAAAATCCATTTAACTGAGTGGTCTATGCACTGTCATGTATGTGCACAAACAAACACACACACACACACACACACACACACACACTTGTCTTGTGACATATGCATAACAAACATTGATTTCCATCAGAAAGCAGTTGAGACTGATAGAATGATACAGAAGCTCTGCGTGATACATGATGGACTATAACTACAGTAAGGCATGATAAAATCCCAGTGCACTACAATGAAATGGAAAAAGATTCTCTATTTAGAGCCAAAGCTGTGTGTTAATGGCCAATAACACACTGAACTAGTGTGGACAATTTTAAAGATGAAACCCATGCAGTAGACAGATGAAACAAAGTATCAACATGCATCATCTGACCCTAAAACTTAAAAAATATAATATAATATATAATAATAGGGTGTGTGAATGTCTATGTGTGTGTGTGTGTGATGGAATGCATGGCTGCACTAAGGTGACTGCTTTAATTTCAGGAGTTACAGATCAAAACAAACAGCTTTCCAATAAAAGCTGCCTGACACATTCAAGATAATACTGATATCCAGCCAGACGTGAACACAAAAGACAAACGGCAAAACAAAACAAGCGACAAAATGAAATTTGTCCATATATATGAACTCATCCAACAGCACATGCCATAAAATCAACAGCCGGTTCGAACCTTTAAAAACATATAATACTGAAATAAATAACAGCAAGTTTTTGATAAACATCTTCATGTGTTGAGAGAGTCAGTAGTTTTTTATTGCCCATTTGCACAATTAAGCCAATTTCTCCATCAATTCTCATTACTGTAATACAAACAATAATAAATTATGTTATTTAAATTGTAAAGTACACAAGTAAGGATCACTGCACTACAATAGTGAGAATTTGGGATTAAAACATGCTTAATTATCCTAAAAATAATGCAACAATGCATTATATGTTTTCAGTTGAATTTCGTTTCATATTTCACTGGGACATTTCTTCATGAGATTCACCCAACAGTAGAATGGTGGAGGGCCCAAACCATCTGAAACGTCATTAAACCTCATTTAGGAGTCTAGATCTCACCTGAACTAGCTCCAGCTCTGCTGAAACCTGTGGAACACGGATCTCATGCTCTTGATATGTTCGTATGATGAAAACCCAAACAATCCCATCATGCACTGGGTCTGGACTGTACCATCTCTTTGGAAATGATTCCTGAAGATCAGAGATGTAAGCTTGAGGAAGCTCTTGAGGAAGAAATAAGCTCTGGGACAGTGCATGGATGTAAAGTTTTCTTTCCGGCAGAATTACACCAGACATGACTATTTACTAGCTAATCAACATCACCACATGCTACTAACAAATAAACACCTACGTTAATGAAGTCAGCTGAGCTTTTTTACTGAGACTAAGTTATTAATCTGATATGGATGAGTGCAGAGGACTAGAGTATGTTCCGCAACTGGATATCCATGTTAGCTAGCATCTGAGAGAAAAAAAAAAATCTGGTAGGGTAAAGCAATAAATAAAATATCCTAGCATCATACATATTCATAGATATTTATAAATGTATAAGATTATACAGCCCCCTGAACGTATTCTGGTTGTGATATGAAAAGGCATTAGTGTTAGAATGAGTTATTTTGACCTTCATTCTTCCTTTCGTAACGTTCATTAAGTGAAACATCTCTGAAATATTAGTTTAAAAGGTGAATCTCACAAAAATATCCAGGTCAGTACTGGGTTATTATTATTATTATTATTTTGTATTGTGCTGCTGTGGATATGTGTTTTGAGCATTTCTGTTATTGACATTATTGTCAATGTTGATTTTCATTAATAATACCATATTTTTTATTCATAAAAAAAATCACTATTAATTAATTACTGCAATCAAGTGAATTCCAATTATTTAATTTAATCGGCATATATTAGCAAACACTGTACAATGTCAATAATATATTGAGTTAAAATGAGTTTTTTCTTTTTCTTTTTGCATTTCAGTAATCAGAATTTTGGGAGGAAGTGCTTAAATGTCATTAAAATAGCATCACAATGTCAAAATATTAATTGTCTTAATGAGCTTAATTTTCTTCAAGCAAAATAGTTTCTTTTGATTGTGGGGTCAATTGTGAGCTGAACACATACTTGACAGGTTTCGTGAGATTCACTCTTTTATTGAATAAATAAAAATGATGAAGAAGTGCAAAACGAAGGATTGATGACATGATCTAAATTGCATTCTCTTTAAGTGTGTGGCTTATTTACCTATAATCATTATTTTTTATTTATTTATATATTTTGGCTGCCTGTTCCTGCCGTGTGATTGGTTGAGGTGAGGTGATTGACAGGTCTACACACGAGTGAGGAAGCCCACATTGAGGCTGCCGGGTATCTGAATAGTTTCCAGGGCCAGGGAGGAGGGGTTAAAGGGGAAGGTCACGGGGTAGATGAGTTTGGTGTCCATCAGCAGCTGAGGCGACTCCTTTCGATCCCGTAAACGTGTCTGGCAGAGGAAACACATAGACAAACATGCAGTAGATTGACTTAAAAAGCACAAGAACTATTATAAGGTTGAGTTATGAAACATACCTGTATTGTCCTTATGAACAGTACTGACACACGCTCTTCAAACGCGTTGACAGGTGTATACAAGTTCAGCACCTTCACAATCTGGACAGAAAAGAAGAAATGATGAAAGTGTGTGTGTGTCAGGTCTACACCTAGGTAGGTAGGTGTAGGGGAGGTCGTGGCCTAATGGTTAGAGAGTCGAACACGTAACCCAAAGGTTAGAGCGCTCTCTCCCACCTTCAATACCACGACTGAGGTGTCCTTGCGCAAGGCACCGAACCCCCAACTGCTCCCCGGGCGCCGCAGCATAAATGGCTGCCCACTGCTCCGGGTGTGTGTTCACGGTGTGTGTGTGTTCACTGCTGTGTGTGTGCACTTTGGATGGGTTAAATGCAGAGCACTAATTCCAAGTATGGGACACCATACTTGGCCACATGTCACATGTCACGTCACTTGTGTCAGGGGTATGATAAACTGAAACTAAAACCAAACTAAAACATTTTCATTACTTTAAAATAAAATAAAATTCAATTAAAAATATAAAAAAGTTTTATTTCAACATTTCCATTTAGTTAAATTTGCTGTACTAAAATTACAAAAAAAAAAATTTATAAAAATGATACCGACAAAAAATACAAAAATCACTAAAATGACAAAAACAACATAACTATAATAATATTATAAAACATTCAGACATGGTCCTGTATCTGGTGTTTTTTTCCCCTTATTTTGGAAACATTACCACACTAAAACATGAAAATAAAACCATTAAATAACATTTTGGTTGATAATGTAAATCATAATCGTTTAAATTGAAATAGTCATGAACAATGCACTGAAATAGCTAAATATGTAAATAAATATTTTATCTATCTTTAATACAAAAATATTATCTCATGGGATATCACAAAGCTTTGCATATTGTGAAATGCTCTATAAAGTACCATTTGAAAATTTGATTTTTGAAATTATTGTAATGTACTCTTTTTTTAAAGGGGTTTAAGTCTAACGTGTTAATGCTTCGTTTAAAAAAAAAAAACTCATTATTTTTCACATAATTTACCTTTATTCCACACCACTCTGTCCCGTCTCTGAGAAACGGGCTGATCTTTTCATTTTTTTATGAAGCCCCTCCCTCAGAAATAGGCGATGGGCTCTGATTGGTTAGCTAGCCCAGTGTGTTGTGATTGGCTAAACCGCCTCTAGTGCGGTTCTCTAAACCGCCTCTAACTAAACGTCCTACCCCTCACCTCAGCGGCATGTGCTCCGGTTAGATTGTAAACAACGGCGTCCTTAATATCGCTTATCAGTTTGAGCCCAATTGAGAAACAGGATATTATTGAAGAGCATCACGCAGAACCTGTGCAAGCATGGCTTTTAATGGTTGGCCTATGTTTTTTCTCACACTTTTAGATATGCTGTTATTTGTAAATGCTACTGCTTATGTTAGCTTTTAATATACGGTTTTATCCTGATTAAAGCTTTAATACAGTACGGTAACTGCACGCGTGTCCATGTATAACGCTTCTCCCAGCTATGTGAAAATAAGTGTATAATTGGAACAGTTCATTGATGGAGCTGAGCTGAATGAGAGAGAGAGAGAGAGAGAGAGAGAGAGGGAGAGATGCAGAGCGTGTGCAGAGCAGGGGGACGCGAGGAACAATATTAAGAACCGCTGCTTTAGAACATTGATTTTGAAACTTGTGAATCCATTAGAATCGTTAGAAGACAGAATCGCGATTCATATATGAATAGATTTTTACGTGCACCCCTAGTTTTCTCTTCCTCTTCTCTAAAGCAGTGCAGCATGGCCTCGCCCCCTTTGCTGCCTTTTCCCGAGGGCGGGGTTTATCTGGGTTTGTGATGTCACGAACCCGGGAAGTAACTTCTTGTAGTCCCTACCAGCCGTTTTTGTAGGCATTAAACTGCCAGAATTTTAAAAGACAATATCTCCATTTGCATTGAACTTTCAGCTTCGTAACTTTGCAGATATTGTTTATGCTCAAGCAGCAACATTACACATTAACTAAAAAAGTGAAATCGCAATCAACCACCCCTTTAAAAAAATAATGAGCGACTACAATAAGCAGGCCATTATGTTTGATCATGGGTGAGCGACATTAGCAGGCCTGAAATGTTAAAAAACGTAAAAAATTGTCTGTTTCAAATAATTAATACTGGATGGTATGAAATCTACTCACACAACTAAAATGGTAAACATGGAAAATGAATCAAGTGGTCTATAACAAATAAAAACAGATCATGATCATTTGAAATGCAGTCTGGTTTGCTTGTTACCTGTGCTGTAGAGAGGCCATTACACATGGAGCAGATGGCCTCAGCATCCTCATCCGTCTTCTTCTTGACCTGCAGTAGTTGTGCGGCCTGAATCAACGGCTCCAGCGTCTCTTTCGCACCGCATGTCATGAGGTTCTTATCTCTCAGCCACTCCTCCAGCTGACTCACGTTATACCTGAACACACACACACACACACACATATAAAACTAAAATATGGCCAACAATCCTGATCTAACTGTACATAAAATGTAATCTTCCAAAAGATTAGGGTCTGTAAGATTTTTTAGTTTTGAAAGAAGTCTCTTATGCCCCCCAAGGTGGCAGAAAATATAGTAAAACAGTAATACAGTGAAATATTATTACAATTTAAAATAACAGTTTTGTATTCTAATATATTTTAATTAGGGCTGTCAGTTTAACGCGTTAGCAATTAATTAGTTATGAAAAAATAACGCGATTAAAATATTTTAACGCAGTAAACGCACTGGCCCCACCCCCAGACCTGTACGTCATCTTGTTGACTGTTGACAAATATGATAACTCCATAAATTACTCAAATTTAAGATATTGGTGCAAAAAAATGCCCCTGTATGAGTTGTTGATTCATATTTATATCATATGATAAGCGATATCACACAAGCAGAGAGAGCAGTATTACACGAGTGCTGATTTTGTCCTGAATATCACAAGTTTAAATGTGATTTTATACAACAATTCAGTAAATATGAAGTTGATATTGTTATATTTTAAATGCAATATTATCTGTCTTTGTTCAATTTTGCAGAGAACATATTACCTTTATAGCCATAGCAGAATTGTTGTGCATCTGTGAGCAACACAGCGGTGTTTAGTTTTTGAATGAATTCTCGTTTTGAATGAATCTTGTGAACCAATGATTCAAAGGCCCATTCATTGAGAGAGCCGTTTACTTAATTCCTGAATGAATCAGCTGTTTGAAAGAATCAAATGAATGAATGACACAAAGACATTTACCGCCACTGGCAGATTTAGTTTCTTATTTGGAGTATAATTTCATAAAAAAAATATATATATAATAATAATACAAATAATAATGAATAAAAACATTAAAAGGATAGTTTATATTATTTTTTTATTCTATCATCATTTACTCACTCTTATGTCCTTTCAAACCTTCCTTTTGTGGAACATAATGTTGGTAACAAAGTTTGAATTTCTTTGTATGAACAAAAAAATACTGAGATGTTTCTCAAATTATCTTCTTTTATGTTCCATAGTTTATGTAGCCTAAACGTTTATGTGTAATACATTTTATTTTGAATCAAATAAAATATTTCTTTCTAAAGCTATAATTTGTAATGTATATTTTCTCATTTAACACAATAATGGCTTTAAATGATCTGGGTATTGTCACAGTCACATTTAATTTGCGATTAATTAGATTAACGTAGGCTTCACCCCGGACACACCCTGGATGGTTTCATGCTCCAGCATGCCAGAGACTGCAGAGAGCAACAGACGGAGGGATAAATACGCAGGGAGAGAGAAACAGATGGATAGAACGGCACCCAGAGGTCACATACTCACCGATCATGGGCTGCAAGATGTTCTCCATACACTTGATGAGCTGCTGGTAGATCTGAATGGCCAGATCACTCAGAACCTGCCGGTACTCGGCCAGGTCAAAGTTGGAGAGACAGTGATCGTTCTGTTTAGGAGTGTTATGCTTCATGAATTGCTGGAGAGAGAGGAAGGAAAAAGTGTTGATTCTGTTTGAAAAACATTGGAGACAGAGAGCAACTGTGGCCACATATACAACGAAGATAAAGGTCATCACTGGGTAATGTTCAGGATTCCCAGAGTTTTCAATGACTTTTCCCAGACACTTCCAGCTGTTTGTGATTAAACAAAACGCTCTCTCAAGATAAGAAATTATATTGTGCTTAAAATTATGGGCAATTGGGCATTTTGGACACTATCTTTGTGTATATAAAATTATTCTATTCATGGCTTTAGAATGTTTCACCAGCTTCAAATTGCTTTTTGTGAATATAATCACTATTAAATAATAAAACAATCTCCATCCATTAAAAGCAGGAGCTTAAAAAAACAAACAAAAGAATCTCTTGACTACATTCACTAACAATTAATGTCACTTATGCTGGTTTGGTTAAAAATAGATAAGAGCGAAAATGTTCCCCATGCAAATTTGTCTCATATTCAAATAGATCACATTAATTCACCATGCAAACCAACAGAAAGCTGCTTGGTTTAAAAGGGCCCTCAGTGTGCAAAGTTCATTTTTACTGGAGTTTTATTTTTTCAGTCACAGTCTTTTGACTAAAATGTAGTTTTAGTCATATTAGTCTGCTGATTTTTTTTGGCTTAATTTAGCTTTAATATCATAAGTACTATATTCTACTGTTTACTGTAAGGCATCAATTGAGCATTTCTCTAAAATTTCCAAACTCATTATAACAGGAGATAAAATTGGTTAACCTTTTAATAGGAATGATATTAAGGTTTGATTGTGCAATATAGACATAGATACTGTTGTGACAAATACATACATATATATATATATATATATATATATATATATAAACACTTTGCATGAAGAAACACAAAAAACAAAAATAGTCGTTTTCAATAAAAGCCTAAGAGGTTATAGATGCATTCTTTACAACAACTTCCAAACATCATTCTTCATTCTTTCATCTGTATTTGTATAACTCAAATATAGATTCATTCTTATTAAATCTATAAAAGTTATTCAGTAAATAGCAGTGAGTGATTATCTCTTTTTCTTTTGTTGTTTAATTAACATTAAGGACACAAACACCAGCAGGTATTTTAGGCTGCATTCACTTTAAGACCTAATACAAGGATCTAATGTACAGTGGGGCAAAAAAGTATTTAGTCAGCCACCAATTGTGCAGGTTCTCCCACTTAAAAAGATGCGAGAGGCCTGTAATTTGTGCTAATTTTATTTGTTGGCTTTTGTCATAAAACTTGCAAAAATGATTTCAGTGTGTGTATTAGTACTTTTTTAAAATATTTCCAGCACATTTTAACAATGCCGTGCATAACAGTTTGGATTTATATTTAAGAGATTTAAGTATTGTATAACATTGGTAGCTCTCAGCCGCATTCATTTTTAAAAAGTAGCTACCGCATAAAATACGTTTGGAGTAGGGCTGGACAACAATTCAATTTCTATCGCGATATATTTTTTTCAATAACAGTGATATGATTTTTAAACACATTTCCGATATTTCGATATACATTACCAGTGTCAGCTTGATTTATTTGTGGTGTTTGATTTCGTTTTCGTTTCAAAACGTGGCGTGGGTGTTTTATATGAATGTATCTCTGAAGGGAACCGACTGTCTTCAGAAAAGTTTCGATGGCATTTTTATTTTAAGTAGCGTTCATGAGCTGAGCTGCTTTGATTACAGCCGTTACCGGGGAAAACGATGTTTCTGCCGCTCTCAGCGCCTCCTGCTGGCAGACAATCAGTTTGCATTTTCAATAATAAGCCCGTCTCCAGCAATGTTTTTGTTGTTGCTCAATTTGTTCTGCAGCAACTCAGAGCACTTTTCATACTCTTTATCCTGGCTGAAGCACATTTGTTTCAATCTATAAGAATAATCAGCCTACACTACCAGTCAAAAGTTTTTGAACAGTATGATTTTTATTGTTTTTTTTTAAAGAAGTCTCTTCTGCTCATCAAGCCTGCATTTATTTGATCCAAAGTACAGCAAAAACAGTAAAAATTATTGCTATTTTACTATTTAAAATAACTGCTTTCTATTTGAATATATTTTAAAATGTAATTTATTGCTGTGATCAAAGCTGAATTTTCAGCATCATTACTCGTTTTCAGTGTCACATGATCCTTCAGAAATCATTCTAATATGCTGTTTTGCTGATTATCAATATTTAAAACAGTACTTTTTTTCAGGATTCTTTGATGAATAGAAACATACAAAGATCAGCATTTATCTGAAATAAAAAGCTTTTGTAACATTATACACTATACCATTCAAAAGCTTGGAGTCAGTATACATTTTTTTTTTGGTTAATTTATAGAAATTAATACTTTTATTTAGCAAGGATGCTTTAAATTGATCAAAAGTGATGATAAAGGCATTTATAATGTTATAAAATATTTCTATTTCATGTAAATGTTGTTCAACATAATAATAAATGTTTTTTTGAGCAGCAAATCAGAATATTAGAACGATTTCTGATGGATCAGCTGAATGGAGTAATGATGCTAAAAATTGATGAAAAATTTGAAATCACAGAAATAAATTACATTTGAAAATATATCCAAAGAGAAAACAGTTATTTTAATTAGTAAAAATATACAAAATGTTACAGTTTTTGCTGTATTTTGGATCAAATAAATGCAGGCTTGGTGAACAGAAGAGAATTCTTTAAAAAACAATAAAAATCTTACTGTTCAAAAACTTTTCACTGGTATGTTAGCCTATAGTTTGAAGTTAAAGATATTAATAAAAGGTGAGTCTGAGATGTTTATTTGACAGTGATTTCACATTTCTTGTTTATATGGAGGCTACATACAAATAAAAGGTGAACATTAATTTATGTGCTTTTTTTTTCTTCTAAAAATTTTTAAAGTTTTATAGGAAGAGGTTTCATAGACTTGGCAAATTAATTTTTCATAAGTTTGTCGGTACAGACATCTGTTGTGGGTGTTCTTGGCAGTATTAATGAAGATTTTTTTAATAGTGTTCATATCGATATCAGAATTGTATCGTATCGACTAAAATTAAGAAATATATCGTGATATAAATTTTGGCCGTATCGTCCAGCCCTAGGTTGGAGACCCCTGGTCTAAGGTGTGATATCTCACCTCATCACCACTGTACTGTTTCAGGCAGTGCAGGAAACGACATGTATTGGACAACCAGAAGGAAACAGTCTCAAAGTCATCGCCTCTTTTCTGCAGAAAAACAAAATATTGATGAGAAAGAAAGATATGTTAAGACTGTTATGAAAACACAGTTTTGTTCAATTATAAAATTTTTAACGTGCATGGTTTGTGAGAGTGTATTGAGACCTTGAGGATCTTCTTGATGCTGTTGATGGCGGAGGTGAGTAGAGATCGGACTTTCTGGTCATCATTAATGTAGTCGGCATGACGCAGACACATGAAGAGGATGTATGCCGGCAGACCTGGTATCAGATTCACTGCCACTCCACGAGGCTTTAGCTCTGACAAAAACACACATGCACAAACCAGTCACAGTCTGTTTTTTTATTTTTTATTAGTATGGTCTTATATGAACGGAACCAGGAATTAGGTAAGTTGGAATCAAACTAATTAAATTATTTAATAGATTTTTTATTTTTACAGTTACAGGTCTATGTGTCTTACCAAGTATGAGGTTTTTGACCAGTTTGAGTTCATCCTCTTTCTTGTATTCCAGCATTCCCTGGAAATCTTTCTCCCTGCGTGGAATGTTCACTGGATGAACAGGCTCGTCGGCCGTCTGTCCTGGAGACACATCCATCTGGCCACCTACAATACACAGACAAACATCAATGCATATAAACATTAAGGATCGTAAATGTAAATTTAAGATGTTCCTGAACAGAGTCTCTAAACACAGCCTGTGACAAGTACCTTCCAGGTCATTGATCTTCTTTGCAAAGACTTTGAGCTGCTTCTTCAGTTTGCGGACGGTCTTGTCCTGTTTCTCCAGTTGCTCCATAAGATCCTGTCACCACGGAGACAGACATCATCATCATCAGACAATCACAGAAACACTATGACAAATGAGTCTCTTTGGCAGAAGGGTGAAAAATATTTAAATAAAGGGTTTATTTTAGAGAATCGGGACAAAGCAGGTCAACCGAGCATCTTTAAGCTCTGCAACAATCTGAAGATAGCAGCTCTGTCTTTCATCTGTCCATGCAACTCAATAAACAGAGAGAAAAGATAGAGAAATAGTAACAAAGATGGGGGGATCTCACAAAGAAAAGTCACATTCCACCTCGTCAAAAAATAAAAAAAAGCTTAAAGAAAACAAAGCATATTTTTTTTGGTTGGGGTGACAGTTTTTTGTGAGATTCACCCGGTTATTGAAAGAGAAACATATTAAAAAGTGTGTTGATTCACACTGCTGTGGGTTAAACACACAGTTAGAGTTCAACGCAGCTCAGATTCTGTGCAACACACACTAGTGCCAGTTAGTTTTCTGATACATGCGCACACACACACTCGTACACACACGATCCTACATACAACCATCCTGCGTAACATGCTGATTCTGTAGGCTTTATACTCCTTTGGATCATCGGAGTGAAGCTCCTGTGAATGAAACATCAGATGAGCCCTCAAACACCTGGTGCAGGTGCACAGTACAGCACTCAGACCAAAATCACACTCCACGCTTTCATGAGTGAGTAAATCTGAAATCATTTATTTAGAATCACACAAAACAAAAGGGTGAGCAGCAGGATTTCTGAACTGTCTTTCCAATGCAAATACCACTTTTGATGCTCATATAGATTCCCAGTGAAAAAAGGCATCTGGACATGACCCAAAAATTACATTTATAGCCTACAGCCCAATAAGATGTATTATATATATATATATATATATATATATATATACAGTGGGTACGGAAAGTATTCAGACCCCCTTAAATTTTTCACTCTTTGTTATATTGCAGCCATTTGCTAAAATCATTTAAGTAAATTCTTTTCCTCATTAATGTACACACAGCACCCCATATTGACAGAAAAACACAGAATTGTTGACATTTTTGCAGATTTATTAAAAAAGAAAAACTGAAATATCACATGGTCCTAAGTATTCAGACCCTTTGCTGTGACACTCATATATTTAACTCAGGTGCTGTCCATTTCTTCTGATCATCCTTGAGATGGTTCTACACCTTCATTTGAGTCCAGCTGTGTTTGAAAACATGAAAAAGAAAAAAAAAGAAAAGAAAGAAATTTGAAATTAAAACCGCCAGCAGGTGGCAGCAAATCACTG